GAAATAATGTTGTTTTTTTACTATTGCCTTTTACTTTTGCAGTTTGGTCGTGTTTTCTGGGCGATTCCGAAGAATTGTGCCCAGGACTGCAGGTCAGCCATCGTAGACATGCGTGAGATGGACCTTGAATCTGTGGTCGGGTACCTTTCCAGACGATTGTAAGACCTTACAGTCGGCATCGCCAGTGTGTAGAGCCATGCGAGGCTCCAGTGACTTGCGTTGGCAGATTGTGCCTGGCCCTTCTCACTAAAGCTGCCGACTGTCAAGCCTACGAAGGGGAAATGGCAAAAAAGGCAAACTACATTTACACGGTGTTTCACACCGCCTATCTTTCGAGTCTGTACCACTATCACAGCCACACCCGAGCTGCATACCTTCTGGTTTTTTATGTGATAGTATCGAGGACTCCCTTAATAAATGTATGCCTCTCCGGGGACCTAAAGAGGTCGACTTTGAAGGTATAGTCGTGGATTTATGCCAAAAAGTCGTGGCTCAACTCATCATGGAGTCTTCAAAGTTGAAGGATGATGTGCCGAGGATTTATTCGCATAACTTCATAGTCATATACAGTACTCAGCAAACCTCATTTGGCTTCCGATGAGGCCAATTTGTTAATTCCCTTCACCCGTTCTTTTGAAAAGAAATAAAAAAGTGGCATAAACTTTTCCGGTTTTTTTAGGGTCAACTGCGATGGTTGCAAACTTTGGTATTTTGGAAATTAACGCCTTTTTTTGAAAAACAACGCTATAAAAAGCCTCTATAAGCAAGTGAGTTGCAAACCAAGTGGCGAATCTATGCACCTTTGGCGATGGGAGTACAGAGAAGGTGCTCATGATCCGATCTGCATATTCTTCTCGGATCTTCGAGATCAACAAAGTGCCCATGCCGGAGCCGGTACCGCCGCCCAGGGAGTGGCAGAGCTGGAAGCCCTGCAAGCAGTCACAAGACTCGCACTCTTTGTGTATCACCTCGAGAACATTGTCCACCAACTCTGCGCCCTCGGTATAGTGTCCTTTTGCCCAGTTATTGCCAGCTCCGCTCTGACCGAAAACAAAGTTGTCCGGCCGGAAGAGACGACCGAAATGACCGCCTCGAACGCTGTCCATGGTACCGGGCTCGAGGTCAAGCAGGATGCAGCGCGGAACGTACTTGCCACCGGTCGCTTCGTTGTAGTAAACATTGATTCGCTCCAGCTGTACAGTTTGCTCGCCCACGTACCGGCCCTCCGGGTCAAGGCCGTGTTCATCCGAGATCACCTCCCAAAACTAAATGATAATTTTTGCACAAAACAGGTTAAAAAATCTATTGTAAGTCTGAACTCTCGGATGGATTGCTAAACAGAGTGTACTGGCGAGAGCAGGAGGAAATAAAGTAGTCGAATAATTGTAAAGTGGATATTAAGAGAAAGTGAGTTTCAAAGAAACTCTTTACAGAGTTATGTAGATGCACCCTTCACTTCGTCTGCAAAGGCGAATGGAAGAGATTCGTAAATTTTTCATACTTTGAATATGATTTATGCAAATAAGTCTTCGTTGAGGGGAATCTCATTTCGTATGAAAGTGTATGAAGAAGATATTCATAGGTCGATCTCATCAGAAGAGGACGAATGAATCCCATTGCACTGCAGCCGTTTGGCTCTTGAACGACTTTGTCTCAGGAAATTCATCAAAACCCAGTTACTCTTCGTATCTTATAAGAAGTCCTCGTCATACTGTTTTTAGGTAAAATTCATTATCAGAGCAAAAAATCATAATTAAATAGTTTGGCTGGCTGAAATGCTACTTCTTAGACCTAATTTTGCAATCTTAATGAGGTATCCAATGAATTGATCTACCACTTCACACTTACCTTAGATGCCTACAATTAAGTAAAGCCGATTTCATCAAAGGGTCTGGGTGTGGTAATAGCTGATTCCATAAATAAATAAATACGCTACGGCATTGCAGGATCAAAAGCATTCTTATTTATGTATTTGATCGATATTAAGAGAATATTATTGTAAATAATAAGATAATATGCTATAAGATGAGATTAAAACTTTGAAATGATATGAAAAATGAAATGTGACATAACATTTGACATGATTTGATATTGTATGATCTGAAATGATATGATAAGATTTGATATTTTATGAGTTGATATGATTTTATTGTATTTTATATGGTATGCTTTTGTATTTAGTGTTATATGCTATATTGGTGATATTTTATAATATCCTATTTCAAATGACACAAATTGATATAAATATCGAAACCATAATTACGTTTTTATTTCCAAAGAAGTTGCCCTTGCCCTCTAAATGTTTATATATCTTACTCCTTAAAACTCTTCTAAGTACTGTTCCGTGCTCCGTTCTTTACCTTGCCAGAAGGAAAAGATTAACGAGCTGGAAACTTGTATATGACAAAACAAGTATATTTTAATATGAGATGTATTCACCCTTTTTCGTTTAAATGTATGTTTTAGTCAGTGGTTGATAATGACGAGCGGAATCAAACGTAGATTTTAGGCCAGAAACGAATAATTGGAGGGTAGAATAAATATTTGTGATTAAATGGCGCATGGCACGAAAGTAAGATGTGTTTATGACAGTTGTTAATCTTCCTATAGTTGCAAATCCCTGTTTAAAATACCTCATACTCGATCTTTGAATGGAGAGACAATAAGCGAGCCTTGAACATGAGGGTATCCACTAAATAGGGGAGGACGATCCATACTCTAAGTCGAAGGAGTAGAAATAGCTAAATATAGTAAATGTAATGAATACAATTGAATGCAAGTAAAAAGAACAAGACATCAAAGTCTATCTTGTAAGTAAGATTTCTATGCTTACTTCCTACAAACGTAATGAAATTAGCGTCTTGTAGTCTAGGCGCAATTCATTTGCCTCGTGACTCAGTTTCTAGCTTCTACTCTCATTACGTGCTTTGAAGTCTGATGTCAACCGGAGCCAGCAGTCTGGTCTGAGCGTAATCTCACCTTCGTGATATCGGTTGAGGATATCGGTTGGAAAAAGGATCTTCACACATTCTATGAAGATCACTATCAGTCCCTGTGACACCAATCCAACACTTTGTTTTTCATCTTTATTCTTTCGATTAAGACCTGTTGCTGAGCCAACCCAAACAACCCACTTCTACCCAAGGTTGTTTTGATTTTGGCGAAAACGTGACGATTAGCTGAAATTGGCAAACTACCAACCTTGTCCAGACTCTCCAAAGTTTGGCTATAGTATGACGGATAGAGTGTGAAAGTGATCTGATTAAATTTCAGCAGATTTCTGATAATAGGCCTTCCAGCAAATAAATGAGTAGGCTACCTGAGTACAGTAAATTACACTCAATTTTAT